ATGGCAGAAGCCCGTGTCATCTGCGGGGCTGCGAAGCCCCGTCCCCAAACCAGCCAGCTCCCGAGGGCAGCAGAGCAGAACCGCACGCCCCGCCCCGCCCTCCGGGCCCGGGGGCAGAGGCCGCAGCCCCCCAGCTCTGGCCGCCACCAGGCAGCGGCCTCGGCCTCGGGGGAGGCGCCGCGCTCACGTCTTCCACGTTCCCGGACGTCCGGTCTTTCCAGCAGAAGTGGATGAGGGAGTCGTCCGTCTGCTGGATGTACACGAGCCCTTTCCTCTTGTCGGGGGTGACGGTCGTGCCTTTCAGGGACATCTTTCCCGCCCGGAACTCCACCAAGTACTTGTTGGAGGACCCGCGGGAGCCTGGCACCAGGCTCGGAAACAGGGCGCCCGAAGTCGTCATCCTGCAGGAGGGGGGCGGGCCGGTCACCCTCCGCCGGCGCGCCAATGGCAGGGGCCCCCGAAAGCTGCCAGGCACCAGCTCCAAGCCGCGGGGCGGGGCGCCGGAGCCAGGGCGCCCCCGAGCAGCCCCCGTCCCTCCGTCTGCGAGCCCGAGAATCTAACAACTTGGGTGGCGGGAGGGGGTCTGGGACACGCGGCCGGGCTGACGCCGGTGCCTGCGGGCGCGGCCCGCCCCGCCGCGCACCCCTGACAGCCGGCGCCCGGGCTCGGCGCGGGGCGGAGGGGCCCCGGGCCGGCCCGCGAGTCCCGGACCCCCTCCCCGGCCCCCAAAGTCCTCGCCCCGCGCGCGGGCCCCCGGGCCTCCCGGCCCCCGAGAGCGCCGGCCCGCTCACGGACGCCGGCTCCCAGGCCCCCAGCGCTCGCCGCCCCGGGCCCTCTGCCCGCCCCCCGGCCCCTCCGGCCCCCGCGAACCCGGCGCCCGGCTCGGGGACCCCCGGGGGCGCAGGCCCCGCCCCAGCCTCCCCAGAGCCGTCCCCGCCCCCGGCCGCCCCGCTCACCTGGCCCGCGCGGAGACTCAGCAGAGAGGTGCCGTCCGGGATCGCTCTTCCTCCTCAGCGCCTGCCGGGCCCCGCCGGAAGCCTCCGCTCGCCCCGCCCCGCCCGCCGCTCTCGCCGCCGATTGGGCCCCGTCAGGCGACAAGCCGGCACTGGCCTGCGAGCGATTGGCGACGGCAGCCGTCCATCGCCCCGCCGCGGCCCGCCCCCACGCCTGTGGCTCTTTTCCGGCGGAAGTGCGGGCCGGCGGCGCGCGGGCCAGAGGGGCCCCTATTGTTGCTGTGTCATAGGGGCGCGGCGGCGGCCCCTGGTGGCGGCGCCGGGAACGGCGGGGCGGGCCGGGCCGGGCGGAGGCGACAGAGCTCGGGACGGCCCGGGCGGCGGGGCACCTGCAGGGCGCGAGGCGGCGTCTCTCAGGGTTCCCGTCGGTGCGGGGCGTAGGGGAACTAGTCACGGGCCCAAGGAAGCGGTTACGTTAGGACGCGGGGGCTGGCTTCGTGCCCTCCGGGAAGTACTGTACCGCGGCCGGGGACTCGGTGCGTGGCCGCGGTGCCCGTCGGACCGGCGGGGCCTCGGAGGCTCGTGGTCCCGTCTGCGGCGCCCAGTCCCACCCGGTGGTGCCGGCAGGCTGTCTCCCCTCATTCCCGGCTGGGCCAGCGCAGACGCGAGGCCGCGGCCCCTGCCCCGCTGGGTTCTCCCCGGACCGGGCCCGGGCCGGGCCGTCCTGCCGCCGCTCCCGCACATCGAACATGCCCGTAGCCTCTTCGGGAAAAGCACAGAGCGAAGCGTCTTCATTCCCCGGGCTCCTGCCGGGCCTCGCAGGGACGCCACTCCCCTCCGCTGCGGGGATCTCGTCGCAAATCGTTGCTTTTCATTGGAAATGTCGTTTTGGTTCATAATGGATGGGTTTGTTTTTCATTCGTTGATATTTCTATATTCATTTAAGTTTCCAGTTTGGTAAATATTGCTACAACCCACATACAGGGCTTGTCCTTCGGTGACCGGTTTATGTCACTGAGCATCATGTCCTCAGGTCTGTCCACGTTGTGACAGGTGTCAGGGTGTCCTTCCTGTTACCGCTGAGTAACTGCTTGTCCATCCACCCATGGACGGGCACCTGGGTGGCTCCCACCGTCAGCCACGGGCATGGCGCTGCGGTGGGCATGGCGCTGCGGTGGGCACGGTGCAGGCCCCTCTCCCGGGCCCTGCTGGCCGCTCCTCGGGGTGTGGGTCCGGAAGTGGACTTGCTGGGTCCTAGGGTGATTCCACTTGTAACTTCCTGCGGGACCACCGTGCCGTTTTCCGCAGCGGCTGCACCATTTCACATTCCCACCCACAGTGCACCAGGCTCCCAGTGTCTCCCCATCTCCGCCCAACATTGTCTCAGGTTTGTTTTTATAGCAGCCGTCCTCATGGGTGTGAGGAGTCTCATTGTAGCTCTGACTTGCATTTCCCGGGGGAGTGATGTTGAGCATCTTTTCATGGGCTTATTGGCTGTTTATCTTCGGTGAAATGAAATGTCTATTCAAGCCCTTTGCGTAGTTTTGAGTCAGGTCGTTTTGTTGTTGAGTTTTAGGAGTCCTCTGTATATTCTGCGTGTGAACCCGTCATCAGATGTACGATTTGCAAATACCCCCACTCTGTGGCTTGCCTTTTCACTCTGACGGCAGTGTCAGTGCACAAAACGTTGTACATTTCCATGCGGTCCAGTTGGTCCATTTTTTCTTTTCTAGCCCAGCCCTTGGTGTCATACCCAAGTTGTTATTGCCAAGTGCAGTGTTGTGAAGCTTGTGCCCTAGTTTTCTTGTAAGAGATTAAAGTCTTACAGTTAGGTCCCTGATCCACTTTGAGCCCGTTTTGTGTATGGGGTGAGGTAAGGGTCCAGTTTTCCCAGCACCACGTGTTGAAAAGACTGTCCTTTCCCCTTGAATGGACTTGACGCCTGTCATTTGACTATATATCGTGATGCGGTGGCAGTGACAAGTTGGTGTGAGTTTGTCAGGTGCGCACACAGTGAATTTCACTGAGCAGGGCTGGAACCCACTTCCTCCACTTACCAGCTGTGAAACCTCAGGCACGCCCCCCTTCCTGCACCTCCTTCCCCTGCAGCCTGGGTTGGGCTGGACAGGATGTCCCAGTGTCACCAGGCCTGGGCTCCGGCAGGGCTGTGCCACGCGGTGGGCCACACCTGTGCACCTGAGCACGCCGAGGGCAGTCACACCTTGTGACTGTCTGTTCCTCTGTCCGGAGCCACCTTGGCTGTTGGGGTGGGTGGCCCACTCAGTTCACCCTCCTGGGAAGCACACAGCTGCTGGGCACCTAGGACAGCGCCTAGTTCTTTCCAGCCACAGGCTCCAACCCCTGGAGAGAAGAGAGATGCAACCGGAGCCCCTGATGCTCAGGGAACCCAGACCCCTCGTCCATTATGTGTGCCCACCCGAGGAGGTCACAGCAACCCTGACACCCTTCTCCCATGACAAGCAGTCTTCTGAAACAGCCCACTCACTGGGCCAACCCGACCCCGGTGGGAGGGCTCGCCCGCAGCCGACCTGCAGCCCTTTCCGAGAGGCCAGAGCCACGGGGACGGTGAAAACGACTCGGTGCAGAAATGCCAGCTGCGGCCACTGTGCAGGGACCTCGTTCAGCTGGGGTCAGACCTGGATTTTCACAGACCAGAACCAGTCCTGCAACAGCTCTAAGGGCAGCTGGTTCTGTTCATGCGGATGGGTGTCAGCCATGGTCACAAAGTGTGGTCCTGTTTGGCATTTCTGTGCTGCAGCCACGGGGGAGCACGGACCAGCCCAGCACATGCACCCCATGGAAGGAGGACCCGTGTCTGTGTGGTTGCTCCTGCAGGGACCAAGCAACCCCTTCCTAACCCTCTGACCCAGGACAGTGGTTCTCAAACAGGCAAAGGAGCAGCGTGTCCAGGGAGGACTGGCCATCCCGTCACCTCATCCCAGAGGCACGCAGAGTGCTGTCCTCACTGTGCAGGACCCTCAGCTGAGGACGCAGGAGACAGTGAGGTGGAAGGGAGTACACGGGGGAACCCCCATGCACAGGCCCTGGGCCTGGGCACACGCTCCCCCTGGGACCCGACCTCTGCACCCACTTTGGACACAGCAGCGTCCTTGGAAGATGTCAGAAAGTCCGGACGTTGGGACAGGAGGCGCAGAACTAGAAGGAACCCCTTGGGGGCCAGCTGTCCGTGCAGGGCGCACCTCGCCATCAGTGCCTCCGAGGAGAAGGCGCTTCTGGATTCTGGGTCTTGGCTTTGTCACGGCGGCTCCGTCTCCTTGCTGCTTGCGCACGGAGCGCTCCCCCCAGAGCGGGTCCTGAGAGAAGCAACCCTCAGGGCTCCTGGGGAGCCTCAGGCGCTGCTCCCATCCGGTTCCGATCTCCTGACCCTGTGACCCAGAGAGGACCCAGCAGACAGAGGGCTTGTCCTCCGCACCCAGGCCGTGGGGAGAAGTGGGGAGAAGTGGGCCGCCGGGGCTCTGAGGCCACCGAGCTCGTCTCCAGGTCGTGTGGCCAATGTGCGAGCTGACCCTTCCCCAAGCACAGCAGCACGAGCCTCAGGGACGGTCTGAGAGGGAGACAGAGGCCAGGACAGCCATGGGGCCCTGAGGGGCGCCTCCATTCCTCGGGAGTGGGACACAGTCTCCCACGGCGCTCCCCTGTGGAGAGCGTGTTCCCTGAGCGACACTGAGACAGGCAGCCCGAGGGGAGGTGCTGCACTGCCCTGAGGGGCCAGGACCTGCTCCCCAGGACTTGTGAACAGGGCCACACCCTCGAGAAGCCAGGGGTGCCGACGCCCTGACCTTGACCCCACCTGGGAGGGCAGCACCACCCCTGGACAGAGCTGAACCACCCAGCAACCCAGAGGTACAGGCGTCCCCCACACTAGTGGCCTGTTAATCTACGGCACCAGTGGGCCCACAACACTGATTCACGTTCCACAGGAGGCGCTCTGAGCCGCGGCCTGCACCCCGGCTCCCCGGGGGCTCGGGAGGACAAGCAGAGTCGGCAGACGGCCGTGCTCAGGCTCCGCCACAGAGGGCTCCGGCTGCCAGGCCCCGAAATCAAGTCTTCAGAGCGAGTCTCCGCTTTCAAAAGTGTTTTAATTACAAACGTGATTTTGAAGCCTGGACACACAATGATGATACCCTCTCAGAGGGAACCCGCCACTCCATACAACTGCATGTGCATCTGTGTCTGTGTGCACACGTGTGCACACGTGTGTGCGTGCATGCCCACACGCAGATTGTCTTCCATTCAGAGAGTGGGACCATGATCTACGCGTCGATGTTTCTACAGGAAGAAGACGTCACCCGGTAAGGACGTGTGCTGCGATGGACATACACTGTGTTCTGTCAACTACCCAGTTCCCCTGGAGAAAGCCTCCGCCCTGACCCATGCACACCAGGTGACCCGTGTCTCACAGGTGCATGCTGGGAAAGCAAGGACACGAGCTGCGGCACCGGCACAGCTCTAGCGCCCCTGCGCGGCCGGCCTGGCCCTGGTGACGACTGACAGGGCCAGGGCGGGCTCCCTTCAGGCCGGGCGCCACCTGGGGACTTGGTCAACAACGCGAGTGCTTCTGGTTGCCATGGCAATGCTTCCTGTGCACATGTGCAGCTGGTGAATAACACGTCTTGATCTTCAGCAAATCCTAGTCAAGCAGTTTTAACTTAAATATTTAAAAGTCATTTTACATCACTGATAATTGGCAAAAAAATACAGAATCTGACGATGCCTCATTCCGCCCAGCCCGATGCTCTGGCCGCGCGGCTTCTGTGGCCGACACAGACGGTGGTTCCCGGCCGCACAGCGCTCTCCGCAGGGCTGTCTAGATCCACCTTTTCCTGTCCTGGGCTCCAATGTAAACTACTTTCGGACGCTCCGCGACACTGCGCTCTGGGGGACAGGGTCCCCTTCCTGCTCCTTCCTTAGCTACAGCGTCATCAAGGCTGCTGTTGGCCGCGCACGCCCTGCTGACCTCACGTGAAAGAGAATGAAAGAATGTTTCTTCTCAACCCTTACTGAGAACATGATGATCCCACGGGAAGCTTTATGAAGAGACTGCAACAGTAGTAAATGATTGGCAATCAAAAGTTAATTAGGATAAGTCCTCAGCCAGGGATGGCACTTTCTCTGTGAACACGGTCCTTAGAAAGGCTGATTCTGCCGTGACAGAGGAGCCACTTGGTCCAGCCTGGCGGGTGTCCGGGCCCCGGGGCCGTCCGGACCTCAGTAGATGTCCGGGCAGCCTGTGAAATCGCGCTCAAAGTAGCCCCCTGAATACAGCCAGTCGGGGGCGCCAGTGTGCGGGTTCCTGCCCTGGTGAAACCACCTGCAACACAGAGGGGGGTCAGGGAGCAGTGGTGGCCACACCGTCACTAGCCGTGCTGGGAGGATGGAGCCCTCTGGTTAGGCATCGCCCCAGTAACAGGCACGTCTAACGGCAGCCCAGGCGGCCGCTCCCTCTGGGCTTATCCATCACCTTTCACACGTACAGACACCCTACGAACACCCCAATGTCAGCCTCACTTCCTGACGGAAACCTCACACTTAACAGAGAACACTCAGGTGGGCTGTCGCCAGGGAAGGGGTGCGGGCCCTCAGCCCCCATGCCTTCCCAGTGAGAATGGTCACAGGGCCGTTTCTGTCCCTTCGAGCAGGCCAGGTTTCCGTGGCCTGTTAATGGGAGAGCGCTCGGTGGCCCCAGCTGTCCCGTGAGCCGATCCAGTCCTGTCACCAGTTCCTGGCTCCCAGCGAGTGGCCGCCTGCCTGCGGCTTGAGATTTACCAGGGAGCAGGTGTGGAGGACTCAAAGTCAAAGTGATTGTCTTCTCACAACATACGTTTTCAGTTGGCTACTTCAAAAAACAATGAGGGGACATGAACTATTTTCAAACTGTCTTTTTCTGGAAAAAAAGCACATTCCACATATCAAACTATTAAGATCATAATAGTCAATGAAAGTGGAAGCCCAACCATCGCAAGTTGGTTCTGAAAACGGCAGCCACATCAGAGCCACGAGGACGTCCCTGCGCCCTGGACACAGCCAGGGGACCCTTCTCGACAGGGAGAAGCGCCCGAGGGCAGCTCTGCCCAGGCCCTGAGACTGAGCTGCCCCGTGCCCTCGAGCTGCGCTTCAGTCCGTGGAGCTGACCTGGGAGAGCGCCTGCCAGATGTGCTGGCGTGTTGTCTCTCAAAGAACAAACGACAGCCCTGGCCGGTTCTGCTCGGTGGTTAGAGCGCGGGCCTGAGGACCAAGGAGTCCCAGGTTCGATTCCGGCCAGGGGCACGGGCCTTGGTTGCGGTTCGTCCCTGGCACCAGGTGGGGTCGTGCGGGAGGCAACCAGTCGATGTGTCTCTCTCAGCTCGATGTTTCTCTCTCCCTCCCTCCCTCTCTGAAGATAAATGTAAAAATATCCTCAGTGAGGATAAAAAACAACAACAGCTAACTGGACACACTCCTCCCTGGTCCATCTCCTCCGGGCAGAGGCGTGTGCAGACACAGGTGTGTGCACCCCACTCGCAGGGCACACCCCAGTGGTCACGGGGTGAGTGCTTGCAGGGGGAGGCCAGCGGGCCTGCTCCCCACCATGCGGCGTGGCCTTGGCTGCTGGGGTGCTGTGTCGGGGGCGGGGGACAGAGGCCGCACCAGCAGCAGCACCTCGGGGCGCACAGCCCTCCTCCCTGAAAGCTGCGCTCTCCCTGGGTCATGGCCACGTCTTCTTCTGCGTGTTAGAGAGAGTGCTCAGAGTCGGATAGGCGGGGCCAGGATGGGGAGGCCCGTCTCAGGTGCCCCGCCCTCACTAGCAGGGCGCTGGCTTCTGGGAGCCTCCGCCCATCTGCGGGCAGGCACGAGCTGGGCACAGGGAGCTGGGCACAGGGAGCTGCCCCCATCATAACAGAAACAGAGACCGCTCTTCCTCGCTGTCCCCAGGTGTGTGTGTGGGGGTCCTCCTCGCTGTCCCCAGGTGTGTGTGTGGGGGGGTCCTCCTCACTGTCTCCAGGTGTGTGTGTGTGTGGGGGTCCTCCTCGCTGTCCCCAGGTGTGTGTGTGTGTGGGGGTCCTCCTTGCTGTCCCCAGGTGTGTGTGGAGGGGTCCTCCTCACTGTCCCCAGGTGTATGTGGAGGGGTCCTCCTCGCTGTCCCCAGGTGTATGTGGAGGGGTCCTCCTCGCTGTCCCTAGGTGTATGTGGAGGGGTCCTCCTCGCTGTCCCCAGGTGTGTGTGGAGGGGTCCTCCTCGCTGTCCCCAGGTGTATGTGGAGGGGTCCTCCTCGCTGTCCCCAGGTGTATGTGGAGGGGTCCTCCTCGCTGTCCCCAGGTGTGTGTGGAGGGGTCCTCTTCCTCGCTGTCCCCAGGTGGGCAGGTGGCCTCCCTCCCTGTCACTGGCAGCACGTGGGCCTCACCTGGTCTGCCACTCGACCTCGTCCTTGGCGCGCTCCCTGCGGGCCGCCCTCTGCTTCTCCTCCAGCCGCTCCTTCTCCTGGCTCGCCAGGTCTAGGCAGCACAGGGCTGGGTCAGGACTCGGGTGGACCGCGAAGAGTCACCGTCGTCGAGAAACCACACCCAGGTTCCCAGGTCTCTGGCATCGCGGACAGCAGGTCCCAGCACAGCGCCAGCCTTGGGCACGTGCACAGATCCCGAAGCCGTCACCGCAGGGCAGTGTCCCCAGAGCCCAAGTGTGGGCCACCCCGAGCCGTGCCCCTCGCACTGTCACAGTCACCTTCCCCTGCAGCGTCGGCAGCTGTGCTGCTGCTGAGGACTGAGGACCCTAAGCACGAGGCCTTGCCGCCCGCCCTGCTGTCCACACCCCTCCCTGGGCAGTTTCTTTACTGCCACCACGGCCACCACAGCAGGAGCACCCTGCGCGGACACCGGGGGTCCTGCTGCTGCCCTGGCCCAGGTCAGCAGGAGGCAGCCGCTGTCACACCGGCCCCTCCCGCCGCCCGCACAGTGGTCACCCAGACTGCGCCGCCAGGTGCAGACACGGGAATGTCTCCTGCACCTGCAGCAGGGCTCCACCTGGACGGCCCGTGGCGAGTTCACTGAACAGCATGTCCAGCTTTTGAAACGCAACCCTGGTGTGTGGAACCTGATCGAGGTCTCAGGGACGTGAGCTCGGCATGCATTCCTTCGCGTCACGTTTTCCCAGCAACTCAGTCCCACTGCCACTTACAGAAGGACCGCGAAGGGGGAGCTGAGCCCGGCCCTCGAGCTGTGCCAGCTGTGCTGGGAGACCTCGCGCCTGTCGCTCCTGCAAGGCCGCCCGCACCCCTACGGGTCACCACGTGCCCCCCAAATCCCCCGGACGCTCAGGCACGCACCCATGTTGCCGTTCTCCATGCTTCGGATGTCAGGGCGCAGGCGGCAGTCTGTGGGGGCCAGGACTTTCTCCATGCCCGCCGGCAGCTCGTTGAGGCTCACGGTGAAACTGGTGAAGTTATACATCTGAGGGACGGACAGGGACCTGTGACCATGGCGGCACCTCTTCTGTGTGCCACCCACTCCGGACACAGATGCCCCTAGAGGCAGCCAAGTGTCCCGCTCCCTGGAGACGCTCCTGCAGAGGCCACGCAGGGTCTGGGCTCCTTCCCTGGCCTGAGAAGCACCTGCCTCGGTCTCCTCTGGGCCCCCCACTGGCACCAGACTTATAGGTCTGTCTCCCCAACACCGCTAGGATGAGTGTTTGTCTGCTTTACACGTGCTCCGCTGTTATAAGATGTGATAACACAATAAAGTGTGATAGGTTGTACATTTATGTATAAATAACAATACATAATATGAAAATAAAAGATTATTATGTAGTATGTTATCATATATAGTTATTTATATACATGTTATTGTATATAATAAACTTATATGTAATACAAATGGCACATTTAATTTTCAAAAATAAATATCAAAATGCACTTAAGCATCTATAGTGACGAGTCAGAAAGACAACCTGTGTGAACTGTCCGAGGGAGGCGCGGCAGCGCAGAGCTCGGCCCAGTCCCAGGGCCGCACCCGCATGCCAGACACGCGGTGAGCGCGGCACCTCCACCCACACAGACAGCTGCCTGCCGCTGGGGGCTGGGCGTGGCTCGGGGGGACAGGAAGCCCGCGGGCATGTACTGCAGGGCTCAGAGGCCGGGAGACAGGCCCTGACTGCTCTGGGACAGGGACTGGGGGGCAGGTGTTGTGGGGGGCAGAGACCTGGGCAGAGTTGGGAGGCCGGGTGTTGATCCTCCAGAGTAGCCTGCTGCCTGGAATGACCTGCACAGTGTCCTGGGCCTCGGGCACGGCCTCTGCCATGTCAGCATCCGCTTTCTCCTGGAACAGAGCGCGTGGTCGTGGGGGAGGCAGGGAGCTCCGGAGCACCTTTCAGACCCGGCACTGGGCCCCTGGCAGAGCAAGACGCCCTGCTCAGGAAGGAGGCACCGCGCCCGCCGGGGTGGCTCCGTGGTTGAGCGTCAACCCTGCACCAAGACGTCGCGGGTTCGATTCCCGGTCAGGGCACAGGCCCAGGTTGTGGGCCCATCCCCAGTGGGGGGCGTGCAGGAGGCGGCCAGTCGATGTTCTCTCTCATCCATGTTTCTATCTCTCCCCCTCTCCCTTCCTCTCTCTCTAGAATCAATGAAGAAGGAAAAATAAAGGCACAATGCCTACAGTTACCTTTCGAAATTAAGGGGCCCTGGAGAAGGAAGACAGCGGTTATTCCTGCAGCTGTTAGGGGAGCGCATGTCAGTGTGACAAGCACCGGAGTGACAAATGCAGCTTAAGGGCTACACCGGCCGCAGGTGACAGGGTTTGCTGTGGGAGCCCAGAAGCGCCCGGCGCCTTCGCCAGCGCACCGCCCGGCTCTCAGAGCTGAAGTGCAGGGAGGACGGCACTGCTTCCGCAGCAGGTCCACGCGGGCAATGCGGGCGGACACATGCTAATAAGGGCGGGCCTACGCCGACGAGGGCGGGTCCACGCTGACGAGGGCGGACCTATGCTAATGAGGGCGGGTCTACGCTGACAATGAGGGCGGACACATGCTAATGAGGGCGGGCCTACGCCGACGAGGGCGTGTCCACGCTGACGAGGGCGTGCCTATGCTAATGAGGGCGGGCCTACGCTGACAATGAGGGCGGGCCTATGCTGACAAGGGCGTGTCCACGCTGACGAGGGCGGGTCTACGCTAATGAGAGCAGGTGTACGCTGCCCAGGGCGGGTCTACGCTGACAATGGGGGCGGACATATGCTAATGAGGGCGGGCCTACGCCGACAAGGGCGTGTCCACGCTGACGAGGGCGGGCCTATGCTAATGAGGGCGGGTCTACGCTGACAATGGGGGCAGACATATGCTAATGAGGGCGGGCCTACACCGATGAGGGCGTGTCCACGCTGACGAGGGTGGGCCTATGCTAATGACGGCGGGTCTACGCTGACAATGGGGGCAGACATATGCTAATGAGGGCGGGCCTACGCCGACGAGGGCGGGCCTATGCTAACGAGGGCGGGTCTACGCTAATGAGAGCAGGTGTACGCTGACGAGGGCGGGTCTATGCTGACGAGGGCGGGTCTACGCTGACCAGGGCGGGTCTACGCTGACCAGGGCAGGGCGCCGAGGGTCGTGAAGAGGCACCCGCCCTGGCCGGTAGTCAGGTGTCAGAGCATCATCCCTCTCGCTAAGCCAAGGTTTCACACCCAGTCCCAATGAATGTGTAAGGAAGTGGAACCACAAACTGATATTTCTCTCTGAAAATCAAATAAGTAAAAAACTAAGACTTAAAGAAAGTAGAGGTACCCAGAACATGGCATTCCCGGAAGGAAATGAAGGGCCCCTGGTTGTACCCAGCTCACCGGGGTGGCAGACGCTGACACAGGCCACTCCCCAGCTGCCCCACGCAGACAGGCCGCCAGCCCCGAGGCCGGCAGCCGGCGTCTGTGCGCACCGCCCCGCGAGGGGCAGGGCCCGTGCCCGGCAGTGCCAGGCACTGCAGCCCTTACCAGCTGTGCCTTCCTCGGGGACTCGCCCCTGCGCTCCTGCTTCCGAAAGGACTCGTACGCCGTGGGCTCTATGCCCCACAGGCACTCCGTCCACTTGCCGTAGATGATGAACAGCTTCTTTTTGCTGGAACGAAGGGATTTACAAACCAAATGGAGAGCGATCACCACAAACCCCCCACGCCAGCTCCCCACTCCCGCCGCGGGCCAGTCTCATCTGCCTGCTGTCTTCCCGCCAGTCTCAGCCTATCTGCAGAAACGCACAGAAGGACACCCACAGTTCCAGCCTCTCCGCGTGCCCTCTGACACGGACGACCCTCGTCACTTCACACGCTGAAGTCCTGACACCCCCAAGCGAAAGGGAGAAGAGAGGCGCAGAGCAAACGGGGCGCAGTGCTGAGCGGTCAAGCCCTCTGTGCCCGTCCCGCCCGACTGCGCTGAACTTGCAGCCCGTTCTCTGTAAGCCACGGGCACAGGCTCCGCCCACTGCCTGCTTCCTCTCCAGGGCCGCAGGGCAGGGCACCGCTGCCCACCCACTTCCTCGGACAGTGACCGCTTCTGGGGGCCCCTCCAGACCAGCCACCAGTGCCGGGCCGTCCCTTCCCGCTGGTCTTCGGGGAGAGCAGGGTGGGCCCCGGGCTGTGTCCCAGAGGCCCGGCAGCACCGCTCCTCTCGGGGGACAGCTGGGGGACAGCTGGGGGACGCGCTGTCGCCAAGAGGCCGTGTCAGGAAAGCACTAACTGGGGTTTGGGTGGGAAAACGGAAATCAGACCAGGGCTCGCACACGCAGAGGGTTAGCGGGGTGTCCCGAGAGTGCTGCCAGCCACACCCACACATCCCCGCCCTCCCCAGGGCGTATGGGCGGTCGGGAGGGAAAAGGCAGGCTGAGCAGGTGGGTTTCTGGCCCGAGTGGACAGGCAGGAGAGCTGCTGCTCCACACAGACACTTGCTTCTCAGGGAAAGTGCAGATTTTAGGAGCTGGAAGGAACCTCGTGACACTATGTGGCCCAGACTGCTTAAGGAAAAAAAGAGAACTGAGACCCAAAACACAGGGTGACTGACCACAAAGTGGGACTCAGAGAATCTGCTAAGACGCACTAGTGACCAATTCTCTGCTCGCAACCCCTCTGAGCTTCCCTCGTTTACGGCTGGGAAAAACCAGCCCGAGAGGGAGCAGCCTGGGGAGCCGGTCAAGGATTGGCCTCCGCCTGCGGGGACGTCAGCTCCGCCTGCAAACCTGCAGCGCCCTCTCAGGGGACCTCCCGGCTCTTCGCGTCCACGTCACCCTCGTCACCCTTGAGAGAGGGCGACACGGCCCGCCACTCACCACCCAGGACTGACACCAAGGTTCTTTTATCTCGTCACACTCAATCATGAAATGTTTTTTCCAAACGAGGTCTAAGGAAGCCCTACTTTTCCGATTGTGAACAGACACCCTGGCCGGGTGGCGTACGCGGACCTACTTTTTGTCTTGAATGTGTCCTTCCACTTTGTGAAGCTCTTTTCCAAACAACCCGCACGGCCGGAAGTGAAGCACACACTTGTCTCCAGTCCTGGGGGCAGAGCAGACGGGCCTGTTGCAGGACGTGAGCGTCCAGGAAAGGCCGGAGGGAGGGGGAGAGCGGGGGTGGGGGAGGAGACAGAGGCTGCCCGGCTGGGGTGCCCAGGAGAGAAAGCCACTGGGACGGGGCCTTCCCAGGTGCTGGGACGGTCACCTGCCGCCCGGGGTGGCTACGCAGTTCAGTGCACTCACTACGTAGCACCTGGATGTCCACTTTTTTATTATTTTTTATTTCTTAGAGTGGGAGGGAGAGGAGGAGGAAGAGAGAGAGAAACATCGATGTGAGAGACACAGCGAGTGGCTGCCACCCACACGACCCCAACCGGGGCTGGGGACAAACTGCAACTGAGGTGCGTGCCCTTAGCGGGAACCGAACCCGGGACTCTCTGGTCCGTGGGCTGGTGCTCTAACCACTGAGCCAAACCGTCCAGGGCTGGGCGTCCCCGTTAAATGGGTGGACTTCATGACACATACATTACATCGCAATAAAGCTGTGAAGAAACAGAGCTGGTCAGTCCTGAGCTTCCAGGAAGGACGGACAGACCGCGGAGTGGACAGGGCAGGAACGATCACTGCACGGTCACCAGGGACCACTCTGCTATTTAAAATTTCGCAAGTCGCCCTGGCCGGTTAGGCTCAGCGGGTGGAGCGTGGGCCTGTGGTCCGGAGAGACCCAGGTTCGGTTCCCGCTAAGGGCACGTACCTCGGTTGCAGTTTGTCCCCGGCCCTGGATGGGTCGTGTGGGTGGCAGCCACTCAATGTGTCCCTTTCACATCGATGTTTCTCTCTCTCCCCCTCCCTCCCTCCCTCCCTCCCTCCCTCCCACTCTATCTGTACAAAAAATGGAAAAATGTCCTCGGGTGAGGATAAAAAAAAAAAAATTTCACAAGTTAACTTGCGATTGAAAAGAAAACCACCTTCCACGAGGAGGGTGAATGGTGCCCCAAGGCCGACCAGAAGCAGGTCCCACCGCCCGGCCCCCGCCCACGGGCAGCACGCAAAGCTGGTGAGAGGAGTCCCAGCCGCAGCCAGGCCTCAGGATGGCTCTCGGGCCCTGCGGGTCACCTGTGGTTCAGGATCTCCACGGTGCCGTACTGCTCGATCCACAGCTTCCCGATGATCACGTTGTGCACACAGCAGGTCGGGTTGGTCCAGGTGTAGGCCTCACTGTGCCTGTCGAAGGGCCAGGGACAAGCGTCTGAGCCTGCAAGGCCCACACTGGGCCCTGAGAGCAAGCCCGGCCAGTGGACTGACCACCTTGACGCCTGCAGCCGAAGCTTGGCTTTGAACTGCCTCTAAGCAGCCCCTACTTAGCATTCCTTTGAAATGTATTTCTTCTTCCCTTTGTAGCAACAACAAAGCTTTCTACTTGACCGTCAACAAAGCACTCCAGAGCGTGAGCTCCGCCTGGGCCTCGGCCACGGGTGGTCTGCCGTGCAAGGACACTGCACACACCTCCCCCTTTGTTCCTTATCCTCCCAGGGCCTGGCCCCAGGAGAGAAGGCCCCACAGAGGTGAGGCAGCAGATCCCGGACCTGCGTCCCCAGGGAGGCTGCGTCAGGGCCACTTAAGGGCAAAAAGCACCTCTGTTTAGAGTCTTTCCCGAGGAGCATGTGCAATCCCTGGATTTCTCAGGCGGGACCCAAACCCGCGAACCCGAGGTCTGCAACCTTTCCCCACTGCCTCACCCCAGGAAAGAGGGCTGCTCCCCCAGCTCCCCGTGGGCCTCTGGCAACCAGCCAGGCTGAGCCAGTGGGGAACAGACTCCATCCGATGCTCCCCCACAGCTGCCTGCTGCCCGCAGCGGCCTCAGCTCAGACCTGCCAGCTCGTGGGGACTTGTCAGCAGTGGTGATGGCAGCAGCCAGGCGACTGCCAGGTGCCACCTTGGTCTCATGGTCTCCGAGCAACACTGGGCTGGGCATTCGGGTTGGATGGGACAGGGCGGGGCAGCCTCAAAGGTGGCCCCCAATTGCCTTGCCTCCTGACGGTCTGTGTGACCGGCAGCACACGTGGGGGAGGGGCACAGCTAGGACACCCCCCCCCCAAGTCAGTTGATAAACGCACCAGGCTTCCCTCCTGGCTGCCTGTGCCTGGTCCCTGCTCTGAGGGCACCGCTGGGTCCCCCCGACCCCCGAGGTCAGTTCATTAACACACCAGGCTTCCCTCCTGGCTGCCTGTGCTGGTCCCTGCTCTGAGGGCACCGCTGGGTCCTCCCCCCCCCCCGACCCCCGAGGTCAGTTCATTAACACACCAGGCTTCCCTCCTGGCTGCCTGTGCTGGTCCCTGCTCTGAGGGCACCGCTGGGTCCCCCCGACCCCCAAGGTCAGTTCATTAACACACCAGGCTTCCCTCCTGGCTGCCTGTGCCTGGTCCCTGCTCTGAGGGCACCGCTGGGTCCCCCCGACCCCCGAGGTCAGTTCATTAACACACCAGGCTTCCCTCCTGGCTGCCTGTGCTGGTCCCTGCTCTGAGGCACATCAACACCGACTGCAGGGAAGCAGGTGCTCCGCCCAGAACACAGCCTGGCCCGTGTCCTGACGGCCTCCTAGGGGCCCCGAGCAGAACCCCCGCGCTGGTCCTGGCTGCGGAGTGAGGCCGTCTGGCAGGAGAGGCGACAGCTATGAGCAGTGCCCGGCGCACGAGCTGAGGGACCAGGCTGCGCAGGCTCTGCTGCTGGAAGGCTGCCCTGGGCACGGCGTGCAGGGCCTCCTCCAGAGAAGAGCCTGGGGCAGAGGCTCCCTCCCACCAACAGCCAGCACACTGCGGGGGAGGTGGCGCCCAGGGAGGCTCACCTGAGAAGTTCCAGCGTGATTGTGCCCCGGGGCTCCGCCTCCACACTCTTCCCCCAGAACTTGAGCTTCGGGTAGATGGAGCCGTGGAACAGGAAGTCCTGACAGAGGCCTTCAGAGTGAAACGCACTAATGGGGGGGTGGTGGCTGACCTGCTCGGATATGAACCTGAACCCCAAGTCTTCCCTAGGCAGGGAAGCAAGAGAGAGAGAAGGGGAGCCCGTTAGTGACAGCAAACCCAAGAAGGCCGGCTCAGGTCCCTATCGGCTCAAGGCGTGGTGGCCATGTGCACACGTGGCTGCAGGGCCCACGTTGGGAGAGGCACTGGGAGCCGGGGCCACACGTGGCTGCTGCACGTGGCAGAGACACGCCCACGTGCACTGAGGTCAACGTGGCCCAGTGCTGACAACACACACACACTGCTCCAGGCCACCCGAGCACACGCAGGTCTTCAAGCGTCTCGCAGCCATGAGCCAGGCCCGGCAGCAGACATGCCAGGGTTCGAGGGCTGCCCACAGCCCCCACTGACAGCTGCGACTCCCCTTTCTGAGGGGGCTCCTCTCTGGCCTCCTCTAAGGCTCCCACAAGTTATATGATGGGAATCTCAAACCCCAAGATATTTTTGGCCAGAAAGTAGGTTTTTTAGCACACGCTCTTATTCAATAAGAATGTCACGTTTTAATTGTTCCAGAACTGTGAATACACCTACAGTTGTAGTCATTAATAATTATAAAACTAAACAGACAATTACTAACTTAACTGGAATCTGAATTTCCAACCATTACAGAGGAAAGAAAGTAAAAAAATTGGATTTTAAAAGGTTGCCTACCAAGGTATGTAATTTACAAAATGAACACTTGTCTAAGAAAAGCAGTGGTATTTTTAGCTTCCAGGAGCTGTCGGGGAGCACTCCTCAGTCTGTGGGTCCCAAACAGAAGGCTGCTCGGGCCCAGACACCGGGAGCCGCAGCCACGGCCCAGGGACCGGAACAGGCGGGCCGTACGAACACTGCAGTTCGGAAGAACGAGCTTCTCAACCACTCCAGGACACTGTGGCCACCCTCGGTCACCCCTGGACGAGGCGAAGGACGAGGGGTCACCCCAGGCATGCGGCATAGCCCTGGCTGGTCTGGCTCAGAGTTAGAGCGTCGGCCCGCAGCCGGGTCAGGGCACGCACCCAGGTTGCGGGTTTGATCCTGGTCAAGGTGCGTACAGGAGGCAGCTGATCGATGTCTCTCTCCCTCTCCCTTCCTCTCTTTCTAAAATCAATGAAGACATATCCTCTAGTGAGGATTTTCTAAAGAAAGAAAACAAGGTGAGGTCAGAGGCCACAGGCACCGCGGGCGCGGGCGGCGGGCCTCCCCCCTCCTCTCAGGTGCCCGGCTCTCGGGGTGCTGGTGCCAGGCCAGCTCAGTGCCCCCGGGCCTGCACTCCCGGGCAAGGCTGCCTGTTTGCAGACACGCCCTCTCCATTCTGGTCCAGCCACGACCCTGCTGCCCCCTTGCTTTGCGTCGCCAGGGTTTGTTAGGGATCGAGCACCCGTCCACGCACCGTCCTCTCACGCGTGCTCCAATGCCTCAGGGAGCCTGCCACCCGAAGGGCCTGTGCTCAGAGGGCAGCCCACGCTGCAGAGAGAAGCGCCCTCCCCATAGCGCACGCGGCACGCGGGAGGCGGGCCTCACCTGGTCAGCTCGTAGGTCTCTCCCAGCAGCGGGTTGAAGGGCTTGCCGGTCCTCTCCCACTGGGAGGCCACAGCTGACACCGCGAAGGCCGCCACGCACTGCGGACAATACACAGGCCGTGAGCGTCCCGCCAGGAAGGGGCCCGGGCTGCAGGGCGCGTCAGGCACCCGCTTGTCTGCATCAGGACTCACTCTCTGGTTCCTGGTCAGTCTCCCCTTGCATGAGTCTGAGGTCACAGAGCTTCTGGGGAGTGCCTCCTGTCACCACCCTTTTCTCAAAACCACGGACAGCAGGAGCCCTGCTGCTTCCAGGCCCCAGCCTGACCTTCAGCAGGTCCTGCGGCAAGGGCAGTGTCCCACACACCACACAGGCATGTGGACTCACACACGCCATGTTGTGTGCGTGCACAGGGGCATCACACACACGCGCACAGGCACACAGCACACATGCACAGGCACACACAGCACACATGCACACACACAGCACACACACAGGCACACACAGCACACATGCACAGGCACATACAGCACAGATGCACACACACAGCACACACACACAGGCACACAGCACATACGCACAGGCACACAGCACATATGCACAGGCACACAAGGCACACATGCACACACACAGCACACACACAGAGCACACACAGCACACACGCACACACAGCACACACGCACAGGCACACACAGCACACATGCACACACAGCACACATGCACACACAGCACATACGCACAGGCACACAGAGCACACACACATGCACACACAGAGCACACAGCACACGTGCATAGGCACACACAGCACACAAGCACACACAGCATATAAGCACACATGCACACACACGCACAGGAAGTGGTGCCGAAAAGACCTGGGAAGAGCCAAGGCAAGACCCTGTGCACACCTGTGGAGAACACGCCCAGCACAAATGTCTCGGCTGCTGGGCAGGACAGGACCCCAAGTGGGTGCGAGCTGCACTGGCCCTTCTCCCCTGGGGAGGTGCGGGGTCCCCGGCCAGTCTAATGGGATCACACCTGTCCGGAGCCGCGGTCTGGCCCCGCCCAGCACAGGGCCCGGCCCACCTGCATGCGCTCCAGGGCCTGGGGCTGGAGGGAGGCTCTGCGGACGAGGTAGACGTGCTCCATGTACTCCGTGATGCGCTGCAGGAAGCTCAGGGGCTCGTTGAAGGCGATGGGCATCGTGATCTTGGACAGCTCCTGGGGGCGGGGAGGGTGTCACGGGCGCTCTTCCAGAACGCACAGTCCCACAACCGCCCCACGGAGACAGTCAGCTCTGGGAGTGGCAGATGCCTGCGGGGACCAGATCTGAAACCCTTGGGCTGGGTGAGCTGACCTCGAAGGGAGGCCACGGGCCCCTGCCCCTCACCGTGAGCCCCACTCTGTCCCACGGGACAGGAAGGCTCCCAGTTCTCTGCCTGTCCCCGCCCACCCCCAGCCCAGAGCACATGCACCCAGAGGGCAGGGGCCACCCCCAGGGGCCACCCCACCACAGCAGGTCCTTGGCGCCACCTCCAGGCGGTAGGTGGTCCCCGAGCCTCGCTCAGGAGCCATCAGCTGCCACCACGTCAGGGCAACTTGGAGCCTCAGCCCAGCAAGTGAGACCGCCCAGTGCGCAGCGCCTACGTCTGCTCAGGGGCCTCCAGTCAGCCAAGTGTGCGCTCTGATCCCTGCTCTCAGGCATCGAGCGGGAAAGCAAGCGGTGTGGGGAGAAGCCAGGAAGACGCTCCAGGACTAAGGGACAGCGCTCTGCACAGGGCGCTCCGAGCTGGCGTGTGGGGAGGAGGAACTGGCAGCCTTAGGGAAGGCAGAGGCCCTCTCCGGAGGGAGCCAGAACCAGGGCAGGAGGGCAGGAGGGAAAGGGAGGAGAGGGGAGAAGCACCGACGATAACCTGGGAAGGGCGGTGCCCTGCTCACATGTCAGGACAGCAGATGAGAGTCTACTGCTCACCCGGCCTCAGAGCCTCTGACCCCACCATGGGCAATGAGAGCAGCCTCACACCTGCAGGCAGAAGGGCAGCGGTGCCCCCCGGGGTTCCACCCATGGGCAACACGCACACACACTCATCCTGGGCCCAGAAACGCCCCACGCCCACAAGCAGGGAGGCCGCTGCAGATGACGAAGGGGGCGGGAGCCCTCATCATCCAAAGAAGTGGGAAAGCGACACACAGTCACTTGATGCGTGAAAAGACCAACCATAGAATTTTTTTATCCTCACCCGAGGACACTGTTCCACTTTTTGTTCAGACAGAGTGGGAGGGAGAGAGAGGAAGAGAGAGAAACATCGACGTGAAAGGGACACATGGAGTGGTTGCCACCCACACAACCCAACCAGGGCCGGGGACAGACTGCAACCATGGTACATGCCCTTAGCGGGAACCGAACCCGGGTCTCTCTAGACCGCAGGTTGATGTTATAACCACTGAGCAAAACCGGCCAGGGCCCACATAGAATTTTTACTGCTGCCTCTAGGGGAGGGACAGGGACAGGGACAGGAAGCTAAGTATGTGTATAGGGGAATATACCTTGTTTGGGAGCTTTAACTTTGGACTTAAAACTTTAAAGCAAAGTTACATTATTTATTTATTTTTCCTTAACCTCACTTGAGGACATTTTTCTATCTTTTGTTCAGACAGAGTGGGAGGGACAGAGAGGAAGAAAGAGAGAGAGATAAACATTGACGTGAAGGGACACATCGAGTGGCTGCCACCCGCACGACCAACCAGGGCCGAGGACAAACTGCAACCGAGGTACGTGCCCTTAGCGGGAACCGAACCCGGGTCTCTCTGGACCGCAGGCCGACGCTCTAACCGCTGAGCAAACCCAGGGCGCAAAGTTACATTTAGAAAAGCAAGCTGTGTACATGGAGAATAGAAAGGAACAAAGGAGCCTCGACCCCCTGGGGCACAGACACCCCGAGAGGAGCCGCGGGCAGACAGGAGGTGCACCTGAGAAGGGAAGAGCCGGGGTGCCGTGGGCGGGCGTCCCGGGAACATGCTGTGGGCGGAGCTGCTCCTGCACTCAGAACTGTGGGTGCCCACCAGTGCTGCTAGCGCCTGGGGGTCAGTGTGGGAGGGAGACACACACGAGCCAGAGGAGGCTGACAAACCCTGTCATCCCTGAAACAAATCAAGACACACAGCTATCTCCCCTAAAAGGATCTGGGGACAGGGGCCACGCAGCGGCCTGCCGGGCCCAGCGGTGGTCCTGAGGCCGCTCGCTCTCTGGACAAGTGGCTGATGGCAGGCCCTGGACAAGAAAGGTACAGGGTGGCGCAGCCCGTGTGGCTCGGTGGTTGAGCGTCGTCGCACAGTCTGAGGGGTCCGGGTTCGATGCCCCGTCAGGGCACATGCCCAGGTTGCAGGCTCGATCCTCAGCGGCGGGCATGCAGGAGGCAGCTGATCAATGTTTCTCTTTCACATCAATGTTTCTCTCTCTCCCTTCCCCTCTCTCCAAAATAATCAATAAAATATATTTTTAAAAAGTACAGGTACAGGGCGAGCGGCGGCATCACTTGCAGGAGACCGCGGCCTGGAGGAGGGTCTCGGCCAGGGCGCACAGCCTGTGCGCAGCACGTCCAAGCACACGGAGCCACTGCTCGGGTACAGGCCGGACGTGCCGGGAGGGGCGCGAACCATGAGCCTGTCAGACGCCAAGGACGCGCCGGCTGACCGCAGCAGAGGCAGGGCTGTCTCACTGAGACCACTGGGCGACCCCGGGTGACACGTGGGGGGGCGGTGCCAACCGCTCTGCAGCCCTACGGAGTGCAGGGGCCTCGGCGCTGACACGGCAGCGCTGCGATTCAGAAAGAGAACGAGCCGTCCCGATGGAAGGGCCCAAACCAGTCCCACACACGGATGCAAACCCACGAGCGCCCTGGAGTGTGGACGGAGGCCCGAGGGCAGCGCAGTCCCGACGGGGCCTCGTGCTAGCGAGCAGGCTCTGTGGGCTCAGGGAGCCAGCACTGAGGGGTCGCCTCCTCAGCACTGTCCACAGACAAGAGCCCGTCAGGGGACGACGCTCGCAAGCAGTGCAGAGGACCCACAGGGTGACCAGCACTCTGAGGACAGCCCCCAGCGTCGTCCCAGCTCTCGGGGAGACCAGCCGGCTCCCAGGGGCGTGCACCGCAATGAGGTCAGTGTGTGGAAAAGACACCTCGGGTGTCGAACTCCTGAGGAGGCAGGACCAGGAGCTGGTCAAGTTCAGTGGAGTCTGTCTTGTAGCCCCAGACACACGTCTGTCCATACCGAACTGTTCAGTGACAAACAGAGATCACGCCACTGAAAGATGAAACGCCACACAGGTCACAAACAAGGCCACCGCACGGTGCAAGTGTGTGGCCAGGGTCCGCATGCAGCGCCTACGGCAGCCTGGAGCAGGACACCTCGTGGGACATGCCCACCAGCCTCCACAGAGCACCTCAGTGCTCAGCAGGGAGACAGGCCAGTGTGTGGCTCAGATGAGCAATGTCGCCATGGATCCTCCGCGGGGGCCCGCCCCTCGGTCACCGTGTGTGGTGGTGATGTTAAGGGAAGTGGGGAAGGGTATACAGTACTCATTGTGCTGTCTCGCAACTTCCTATAAAGTCTAAACGTTTTCTAAAATAAAGAGTTAAAATAAACATGAAATTTCCCTGAGGAAAAAGGACTGAAATGGATAAGGGCAGCAGACAGCCCGTTAGGGCAGGTGCGGGCACCGGAGAAGCAGCAGGGCCCTTCCGGGCGGACCCTCCAGCTGGAGGCTGAGTCTCCGACGCGGCGCCGAAGGAGCCTGCCCTGCGCCTGGGAGGCTCCGTCCCGAGAAGCACAGTGAGGATTCTCACCCTCGGTGGACAAGACAGGAAAAAGGCCTGTGGCTGCCGGACACAGTCACCACCTTCCTCTGCCACAGGCTGTGAGCATCTGCGTTCTGCCTGCAGCCGCGTGGACGCCTGCGGGGCTCACCCTCTGTGCCCAGAAGCCCGAACACCGCCCACTCCGCCGCTCCCCAGGCGGCCGCGGCACTCACCAGGCCGACACACTTCTTCAGGATCCCCCAGATGCTGAAGTCGCTCCTGGTGAACATCGGGGCCGGCAGGGCCGTCCTGGAAAGCAGTGGCCACGTGTCTCAGTTCCTCTGTGGGCCCCTCACGGCTGGTGATTCTGCTCAGAGACCACTCTTCCCCCTGAACCTGCGCCTCCCTCTATCCTGGCCTTGTGGCAGGCCCCCTGGGAGACAGTGGCCACACAGACGACTCTCCTCCCAGGGCTGACAGGTCCCCTTGTCCCCAGGGAGCCCAGCAGGACCATGGACAGAGGCCAGGCCACGAGGGCCCCAAGAGGGAAGTGGATTAAGAAAACCTTTTCAGGCCGGCCAGCATGGCTCAGTGGCTGAGCGTCAAACCTGCACCAAGAGGTGGCTGGTTTGATTCCTGGTCAGGGCACATGCCCAGGTTGTGGGCCTGATCCCCAGTGGGGGGGGCCATGCAGGAGGCAGCCAGTCGATGTTCTCTCTCATCCATGTTTCTATTTCTCTCTCCCTCTCTCTTCCTCTCTCTCTCAAATCAGTAAAGAAAAAAAAATTAGAAAAAAAAACCTTTTCAGAAACAGCTGCTCACCCCTTCAAACCTGGGTTTCCTGAGGTTCCTTCCTGCCCAGGTGCCCTCCCACCAACCAAAGCAGCCCAGTCATGCTGCACCACGAGACCTCCTCACAGCCAGCCGGGCCAGGGGCCCCTGGCCTCCCTCCTGGGAGTTTGGCTGGAATGAGACCCTGGCTCCACCTGGGAGGGAGGGCGCTGCGTGGGGAGGGGGGCAGGTTTGGAGGGGCTTGAACCATGACCAAAGGTTGAACCCTCGGCTCCCCGCGACCCAGCATCCCCTGGATCTGCCTGTGGAACCCGGATGGGGGTGGGCGGCTCCCCGCGGCCCAGCAGCCCCCCGACCTCCCTGTGGAACCCGGATGGGGGTCAGCGGCTCTCAAGTGTCTGCTGTCCTGGGAGGAGGACCAGGACTCTGGCTGGAACAACACCAGCTCTCATCCACGGGGACCCTGGGACCCCCGGGGCTCGCACAGGGCAGCTCTGTCAGGACACACTGCCACACGTTTAGCTTCCGGGACGACAGGGAGAGGAGGAGGCAGCTGGAGACACAATGGGAGAGACGGCTGCCGTTCACAGGGCCCCGCGTGCCAGGTTGCTGGCAAGTGACACCTGGTGACTGGGCGGCTGTCACCTGGGCTGGACCGAGAGGGGCGAGAAGGGAGCAGGGGACAGGAGAGGAGCGGGGACAGCAGAGACAGAGGAGGCAGCGAGCGGCAGGCAGGCCGAGCCTGAGGTGGGGCCCTCGAGGCCCCTGTGGACGGGCCCAGAGACAACGCGGAGGGGCCAGAGCAGGAGAGGATGCTGGCCCTCAGCCTGGAGGAAGGTGACCTTAGGGTTCCTGGTCCAAACCGAGGTGCTTCTGAGAGGAAAAGGGTGCGGTTAGGGATGCTCCAGTGGGCGGGGCACCATGTGGACATTCCCCTGAGAGCTCTAAGCGAGAGGTGGGTGTGGCCTGGTCAGACCTGTCCTCTGGGGTCGGAAGTTACGGGGCGGCGGCCGCAGCAGACACGGGAGCACTTTGGCAGGCAGGCTCACAGGACCCGGCGTGTGCCGAGGGAGAGGGACGGGGAGGGCAGCAGCAGGGGGACCTGCTGATGTCCAGGACCCAGGCGTGTGCCGAGGGAGAGGGACGGGGAGGGCAGCAGCAGGGGGACCTGCTGATGTCCAGGACCCAGCGTGTGCCGAGGGAGAGGGACGGGGAGGGCAGCAGCAGGGGGACCTGCTGATGTCCAGGACCCGGCGTGTGCCGAGGGAGAGGGACGGGGAGGGCAGCAGCAGGGTGACCTGCTGATGTCCAGGACCCAGGCGTGTGCCGAGGGAGAGGGACGGGGAGGGCAGCAGCAGGGGGACCTGCTGATGTCCAGGACCCAGGCGTGTGCCGAGGGAGAGGGACGGGGAGGGCAGCAGCAGGGGGACCTGCTGATGTCCAGGACCCGGCGTGTGCCGAGGGAGAGGGACGGGGAGGGCAGCAGCAGGGGGACCTGCTGATGTCCAGGACCCGGCGTGTGCCGAGGGAGAGGGACGGGGAGGGCAGCAGCAGGGTGACCTGCTGATGTCCAGGACCCGGCGTGTGCCGAGGGAGAGGGACGGGGAGGGCAGCAGCAGGGGGACCTGCTGATGTCCAGGACCCAGCGTGTGCCGCGGGAGAGGGCCGGGGAGGGCAGCAGCAGGGGGACCTGCTGATGTCCAGGACCCAGGCGTGTGCCGAGGGAGAGGGACGGGGAGGGCAGCAGCAGGGGGACCTGCTGATGTCCAGGACCCAGGCGTGTGCCGAGGGAGAGGGACGGGGAGGGCAGCAGCAGGGTGACCTGCTGATGTCCAGGACCCGGCGTGTGCCGAGGGAAGGGAAGGCGGGGAGGCAGCAGCAGGTGACCTGCTGATGTCCAGACCCAGCGTGTGCCGAGGGAGAGGGACGGGGAGGGCAGCAGCAGGGGTGACCTGCTTGATGTCCAGGACCCAGCGTGTGCCGAGGTAGAGGGACGGGGAGGGCAGCAGCAGGGGGAACCTGCTGATGTCCAGGACCCAGGCGTGTGTGCCGAGGGAGAGGGACGGGGAGGGCAGCAGCAGGTGACCTGCTGATGTCCAGGACCCAGGCGTGTGCCGAGGGAGAGGGACGGGGAGGGCAGCAGCAGGTGACCTGCTGATGTCCAGGACCCAGCGTGTGCCGAGGGAGAGGGACGGGGAGGGCAGCACAGGGGACCTGCTGATTTCCAGGGACCCAGGCGTGTGCCGAGGGAGAGGGACGGGGAGGGCAGCAGCAGGGGGACCTGCTGATGTCCAGGACCCGGCGTGTGCCGAGGGAGAGGGACGGGGAGGGCAGCAGCAGGGTGACCTGCTGATGTCCAGGACCCGGCGTGTGCCGAGGGACAGGGACGGGGAGGGCAGCAGCAGGGGGACCTGCTGATGTCCAGGACCCAGGCGTGTGCCGAGGGACAGGGACGGGGAGGGCAGCAGCAGGGGGACCTGCTGATGTCCAGGACCCGGCGTGTGCCGAGGGACAGGGACGGGAGGGCAGCAGCAGGGGGACCTGCTGATGTCCAGGACCCAGGCGTGTGCCGAGGGAGAGGGACGGGGAGGGCAGCAGCAGGGTGACCTGCTGATGTCCAGGACCCGGCGTGTGCCGAGGGACAGGGACGGGGAGGGCAGCAGCAGGGGGACCTGCTGATGTCCAGGACCCAGCGTGTGCCGAGGGAGAGGGACGGGGAGGGCAGCAGCAGGTGACCTGCTGATGTCCAGGACCCAGGCGTGTGCCGAGGGAGAGGGACGGGGAGGGCAGCAGCAGGGTGACCTGCTGATGTCCAGGACCCAGGCGTGTGCCGAGGGAGAGGGACGGGGAGGGCAGCAGCAGGGTGACCTGCTGATGTCCAGGACCCAGGCGTGTGCCGAGGGAGAGGGACGGGGAGGGCAGCAGCAGGGTGACCTGCTGATGTCCAGGACCCAGGCGTGTGCCGAGGGAGAGGGACGGGGAGGGCAGCAGCAGGGTGACCTGCTGATGTCCAGGACCCAGGCGTGTGCGAGGGAGAGGGACGGGGAGGGCAGCAGCAGGGTGACCTGCTGATGTCCAGGACCCAGGCGTGTGCCGAGGGAGAGGGACGGGGAGGGCAGCAGCAGGGGGACCTGCTGATGTCCAGGACCCAGGCGTGTGCCGAGGGAGAGGGACGGGGAGGGCAGCAGCAGGGTGACCTGCTGATGTCCAGGACCCAGGCGTGTGCCGAGGGAGAGGGACGGGGAGGGCAGCAGCAGGGTGTCCTGCTGATGTCCAGGTGGGCCAGTCACAAGGTGCTGAGGAGGGGCTGGCGCAGAGGTCCGCCTGCCGCTGGCCAGGCCACCGGAGCCCTAGGAGGTGTGCCAACACCTGCCACGCACATGGCCAGCAAGGAAAGGCAGGAGTCCTTGGGGCTGGCAGGGGGCAGGCATCTGGGCCTAAAGCTCAGAGCGGGGGGTGTGCTAGAGCCAAGATGCAGAGTAGCACAGGCTGGACAGCCCCCCATCTCACACCCTGGCAGACGCTCGGGTCACTGTCATCAGAATCTCCGTGCACGCGAGTGAGACGCGGGGGTGGGGGACTGGCGTGTGGTCTCACTGCACCGAGGACGGTCCACCTGCAGTGCTCCCGGCCCTGGGTATGGCGCCAGGCCCTCTACGCTCCAGGGCAGGGCGGCCACCCCGGCATTCTACAGACAACAGGACCAGGACTGCCACAAGCGCCATCCCTGCCCTCCAGAGCCAAGGAGGGCAGTACTGCACCTCAGAGTCTCGGTGGCACGGGGTGCTGGGCGCTGTCCGAGGAGCTGGCTCACGCGGCACTCGGGACTCAGCACGCTGGGGCCAGCACAGGCACTCGGAGACTCTGAAACCCACGTGGGGGCGGCGTACCTGTGCTTTTGCACCCCATTCTCCTGAGGGGGCCTCTCTCCGACTTTCCCAAGGCCGTTACTTTTGCTGGGGTCCACGCGGAGCGCCCCAGGGGCCTTCTGACTTGCCTCGGAGAAGTCCCCAGAAGAGTTCTCGAAGTCGGAGCCTGCACAAGACACGCAGAGCGGTGACTGCAGGGCCCGGGGGGGAGCCTGCCTCCCCGAACTCCGTGCAAGCAGAATCCGGAGCGCCACTCTTTCTGACAGACGGCTGGACTCGGGAACCTGCTCCCAGGCACTGAGAGAGAGGCGCAGGAGCAGGAGCACGGGGGAGTGCCCGAGCGAGGCTGCCCACTCGGACGGAGCTTCACACAGCACAGGCTCCTTCAGGCGCTGTGGGCCATCGGCTGACCGGAGGTCCGGCCCCAGGGTCCAGAACAGGCTTCCCGTGGCCTCAGTCAACAGCTCACCCTCTGGGCGGGCGCCCCCACAGCACTCCAACCCAGCTCTCTCGGTGGCAGCGTGTCCTGTTTGCGCCACGTCCTAAGGGCCAACCCACTGGCCTGGTTCCTAAGGAGGAGGACACTGCGCCATGCAACTACCAGAACCAATCGGACCAACGACAGTCACTCAGCGAGCAAGTGATCAGTTTAACTGCAGAACCACGACATGGCAAACCAGAATCACAACGCAGGACGTTCTCCAGGACCATCAGACGCCCCGCGAAGGGCCACCCCCTGGGCCGGGCTCTGAGACCCTTCCCATCGAGGGGCTAGCTCGAGAAGGAACAGGTGACAGTGGAGAAGGAGGGCGTGCTCCTCCCACGAGAGCCAGCAGAGGGAGCCGGCCACGGCTTCAGCCCAGTGACGACCCAGACTCTTCAGCGGAGGCTCGAGCTCACAGGAGCTCAGGGTTCCCCCAGTGGCCCCATTTCACTGAAAGGAAGGGGTGTCAGGTAGGGTAGTTGTTGTCAGACCCCAAATGTACAACATTTGCTGGTGAGCCTCCCTGAGAAGCAGCAAAATACCTTCTTCGTGCTCTTCTGCGCTGGCAACTCACAGGCATAGCGGTGAGATCCGCTGCTCCGTGACTTTGAAGGACGGATTAAGACAAAACTTCTCAGCCCGGCCGGTGGGGCTCAGTGGCTGAGCGCCGACCCTGCACCAAGAGGCCGCCGGTTCAATTCCCGGTCAGGGCACATGCCCAGGTTGTGGGCCTGATCCCCAGTGGGGGCCTGCAGGAGGCGGCCAGTCAATGTTCTCTCTCATCCGTGTTTCTATCTCTCTCTCCCTCTCCCTTCCTCTCTCTCTAAAATCAATAAAGAAAAACATTTAAATCAATAAAAAATAAAAATTAAAATCAATAAAGAAAAAGGATGAACCTCTTAAATGATCTGTTTTCTGAAAGAGCCTCTCGTGTCCACACTGAGCCCAAAGCAGCGTCTGCCCGGCCCGTCTGGACGTGGTGGAAACTCCGCGCCGGGGGAGTGTCGCAGGGCTGCCCTCTGCCGTTGCCAGCACCGCCCTGCGCCAAGGTCCACGTGGACTGTCCGGCAACCACACCCGGACACGAGCGGCGAGCAGGCCAAGGTCGCTGACAAGCACGCTGCGTCCCGTCTGAGCCCAGCCAAAGCTCCGCAGTGCGTGCTCACTGTAAAGAGGGGACGCGGGAACCACCTGCAGCAGCCCCGCAGGACACCCTGAGGGAGTCTGGGAGGGCCAGCCCGCAGTCTGCACGCGTGCTCTGAGACCTTCGTCTCACCCACGGCTGAGGAGTGCCCTCTGTCGAAGTCGTCCCCTCAGTCTCTGCTGGGTCTAGAGACGCTTTGGGGCAGTCACAGGGGAGCCCAGCACTCCGGACGGCGAGGCAGCCAGTTCTGCATCTTCTATGCCTTTCACTGCACGGGGACACTTCCTGTCCTTCTTCCTTCCGTTGTTTGTTTTGGAACCAAAGGACCCAGGTGACAAACGAGCTCAGCTGCCTCTCCCCTCAGGCCCACGCAGGCAGCGCGCTGCGCAGACAGGCCGAGAAGCACCCTCCCAAACGCTGCGCTGCGCGAGCTCCAGGCCACTCCGGGAAAACCTCTGGCAGAAGCTCAGAGACGTCCAGAGGGCTCGGTCACACTGGTTCCCAGGAGAGGACACACCAAGGCCGGGCTCTCTGGGATGCAAGGGCCAGGAGGCCCAAGGGCAATTCCTTGACCCTGCCACTGAGTCGGTTTCGGGGAGAGCTGAGGTGTCTGAGCCAGTGAGTCACAGGCACACCTCTGGGGGGCGACATCTGCTCAGTGCCCCTTCCCCTTGGGATTCTGACAAGAATAAGCCAGCAGTCCGGCCGCCTGTCCTGCACCGGCTCCCACTCCTCTGGGAGGGAGAAGTCGGCTGGGACTGACACAGGCCCTGAGCGCTGGCAGGGACCCAGGGGACAGCGGGCACGTGCGGAGGACTGTGACAGCGTCAGGAGGAGCCTCGCTGTGCTGGGCACCATGTCACTTTGGCAGTAACCACACAAGCGGCCCTGACTGCATGTGAAAAGATCATCGCAGAAACCTGGCCTGGCCTAGTGTTCCAAAGCTGCTGCTTCTGTGTCCTCTGCCTGAGGAGGGGTCCCTGGCCCCAGTAACAACCCTCAACGGGAAAAACAAAACGATAGTCCACGTGGACGGTGGGCAGGGCAGGGGGAGTGAAGGGCCGTCCTGACCTTCAACAGCTTCCAGCCTCGTGCGGTCACCGCAGTCACCGCGATGGGGGAGGGGCTCCTCCAAGCGCCCCTGATGCACCCGCCCACCGGTGAGCCCCTGATGCACCCGCCCACCAGTGAGCCTCAGGGCGGCCACCACCCCCAGCAAGCACCCGGCAGCGTGGCTTCCAGCCCGGCACTGAGGCAGCTTGGCACCCACAGGCTGCGGCAGGGCAGCGGGGCTCTGAGCACCTGCCCCAAGAGCAGCTCCTTGCCAGTCGGAAGTGTAGCTGCCCTTCTCAGCATCCCGGCTGCAGTCAAGCTTCCTCCGCAGCTGGAGCCGGGCCTGGGAGCACGCTGCCCCACTCCTGAGGGCTAGGTCTGAGGCCCGGGCGGGGCACTTCTCCCCCATGCGCTGGCGCGTGGCAGGCGCGTTCTCTGCGCTCACCTGTGACGGCGTCGAAGAACTCCTCGTCCCCGTTCATCCTCGGCAGCCAGGAGCCCTGCCTGGGTCTGCAGCGTCCTACTGAGTCATCGCGCTGGGTCTACATCGATGGTGCAGGCGCTTCGCCTGGGAGCGGTGTGGGCTGCAGTCCGATAGTGGGGGGACCTACGGGCAGACACATGTTGGATACTTAGCTTTCAGGAGTTCTGTAGCTTAGAAATGTTTTTCCAATACCCAATTACCATTTTTAAAAATCAGTCTCAGTTACATCTCAGCAAAGAAATAAAGTGAATGATATAACAAATGGAGGCCCTGGCTGGGTGGCACTGTTAGTTGGAGCGTCATCCTGAGCACTAAAAGGTTATGGGTTTGATTCCGGGTCAGAGCACGTACCCTGGTTGCAGATTAGGTCCCCAGACGAGGCACGTATGGGAGGCACCCCATCAATATTTCTCTCTCACACAGAAGTCTCTCTCCACCCCTCCCTCTCTCTAAAATCAATGAAATACATATATATATCCTCTGGTGAGGATTTTTTAAATCTTTTTAAAAAAAGCATGATTCATAAGATATGAGCGGAAACAATTATAATACAAACATCCGTTGAAAAGATCAATAAGTAATTATTACTTGAAGAGTTATTTATTTTAAGATCATTTACAGTTGTGCAGAAAATGATAAAAGGGTGGACTGGGCCAGCCGCACGCACAGGCGGGCCCAGCTCGCGCATCGGGCTCAGCGTGGCTCAGGGATCGTGCTAGAATAGGTTCCCCATTGCCCGGCCGGTGTGGCTCAGTGGTTGAGCGTCGACCCTGCACCAAGAGGTCGCCAGTTCGATTCTGGCCAGGGCACATGCCCAGGTTGTGGGCCGGATCCCCAGTGGGGATGCAGGAGACGGCCAATCCATGTTTCTCTCTCTCTCTCTCTCCTTTACCCTGTCTCTAAAATCAACAGAGAAAAAATATGTGTTAAATAGGTTTCCTGTCGACAGGAAGCCAGTGTCCAGCTCTAGAGAGCTGCTGTACACATTAACTGCTGTCAGCATGACCGGAAGTCTCCTCACATGCTTCTGGCTCCACAGTAACTCACGCCATTAACCTGTCCCATCGCAAAGAGCAGCATTTTACAAGTGACAGGCGGCTGAAGCCCAAGGGCAACCTCGTCCCCAAAGGTCTGGCTTCTGTGGACGCGAGCAGTCTGTCGGTAACTGTGCTGCGACGTCAGATGGGCCCGGGCTCCCCGAGCGCTGAGAGGAGCGACGGCCAGGCCTGGTGACACCTGCAGGGCAGCAGTGCGGAGCGTCCACGTGGGGACCCAACTGCATCGGTTCCTCCGCCTCCTTTCTGGTTTCTTTCCCACCTTCCCCAGCCCCGGGGGCGCTGTGACGAGACGTTAGTGCCACCAAAGTAAGGCACAGGCTCAGTGTGACCCCTCTCAAAATCCCTGAGGCATTTCCTGTAGAAATAGAAAAAGCTCACCCTAAAATTCCTATGAAATTCCAAGGGACCCTGAATAGACAAAACAACCTTGAGAAAGAAGAACAAAGCTGAAGGACCCCACTTCCTGGTTTCAAAACCCACCACACTGCTCCAGGGAGCACAGCAAAGTGGTCCTGGCCGAGACAGACACTAGGTCGGGGACAGGACAGAGCCCAGAGCAAACTTTCACACGGGCAAGTGACCTGTGGCCAGGCGTCAAGACCATTCAGGGGAAAGGACAATCCTTCCAACACACGGTGCTGGGGAATCTGGACATCCACCTGCAGAAGAACGCAGTCGGCCCTGACCTCACACAAAATGATACAAAACATGCGAAATACACAAACATTAACTCAAGACAGGTCAAGAACCTAAATGTAAGAGCTAAAAGTGTGAAACTGGAAGAAAACGGGACTCGAGCTTCACAACACTGCACTTGGCAATGACGTCTTGGGTATGATACCAAGGGCTGGGCTAGAAAAGAAAAAATGGACCAACTGGACCGCATGGAAATGTACAACGTTTTGTGCACTAACACTGCCGTCAGAGTGAAAAGGCAAGCCACAGAGTGGGGATATTTGCAAATCGTACATCTGATGACAGGTTCACACGCAGAATATACAGAGGACTCCTAAAACTCAACAACAAAATGACCTGACTCAAAATGACCTGACGCAAAGGGATTGAATAGACATTTCATTTCACCAAAGATAAACAGCCAATAAGCCCATGAAAAGATGCTCAACATCACTCCCCAGGGAAATGCAAGTCAGAGCTACAATAAGAGCTCCTCATACCCATGAGGACGGCTGCTATAAAAAACAACCAAATCCTGGCCAGTTTGGCTCAGTGATTAGAGCATCAGCCTGCGGTCCAGAGAGACCCCATTTCGGTTCCCGCTAAGGGCATGTACCTCGGTTGCAGTTTGTTCCCGGCCCTGGTTGGTCGTGTGGGTGGCAGCCACTTGATATGTCCCTTTCATGTCGATGTTCCTCTCTCTCTCTCTCTTCCTCTCTCTCCCTCCCACTCTGTCTGAACAAAAAAATGGAAAAATGTCTTTGGGTGAGGATAAAAAAAAAAGAGGTCGTGGGTTCGATTCCCTGTCAGGGCACATGCCCCGGTCGTGGGCCAAATCCCCAGTGGGGGACATGCAGGAGGCAGCCACTTGATGTTCTCTTTCATTGATGTTTCTATCTCTCTCCCTTTCCCTTCCTCTCTTTCTAAAATCAATAAAGAAAAAATTTTAACAAAAAACAAAGAAACCCAAAACAAGTGTTGGCGGAGATGGGGAGACACTGGGAGCCTGGTGCACTGTGGGTGGGAATGTGAAATGGTGCAGCCGCTGCGGAAAACGGCACGGTGGTCCCGCAGGAAGTTACAAGTGGAATCACCCTAGGACCCAGCAAGTCCACTTCCGGACCCACACCCCGAGGAGCGGCCAGCAGGGCCCGGGAGAGGGGCCTGCACCGTGCCCGCCGCAGCGCCATGCCCGTGGCTGACGGTGGGAGCCACCCAGGTGCCCGTCCATGGGTGGATGGACAAGCAGTTACTCAGCGGTAACAGGAAGGAAACCCTGACCCCTGTCACAACGTGGACAGACCTGAGGACATGATGCTCAGTGACATAAACCGGTCACCAAAGAGCAGACCCTGTCTGCTTCCACTTTCATGAGGGGCCAGAAGAGTCAGATTCACAGAGACAGAAAGTAGATGGCAGTGCCAGGGGCTGGGGGAGGGAGGGGTGCTGAGGGCACAGACGGGGTGCTCTGGGACGGGGGAGAAGGCTGGCACAGCCGTGAGTGCCCCGCTGTTACTGCACTGCACACGGGAAATGGCTAAGGTGCAAGTTATGTTATGGCCCGGCCCTGTGGCTCAGGGGTTGAGCGTCGACCCTGCACCAAGAGGTCGCCAGTTCGATTCCCGGTCAGGGCACATGCCCAGGTTGTGGGCCTGATCCCCAGTGGGGGGCGTGCAGGAGGCGGCCAATCGACGTTCTCTCTCATTGATGTTTCCATTCTCTCCCTCTCCCTTCCTCTCTCTCTAAAATCAATAAAGGAAAAAAATTTTTAAAAGAAAAGAATTATATGTTATATATCATTTAGCACAACTTTAGAAGTCGGAAATGACAAAGAAGCGACTGCACAGACCGAGCTGCCAGGGTGAGGCTGGCACGGCCTGTGCTGATGGGGGAGCTCCCGTCCTCACTGAGCCCAGCTCGTCCTAAGGGAGGACCCACATCCCACCACAGTCCCACTCGGGGAAACGATCCTCCCTCTCGTGGCTCAGAGCAATCGGCCTGGACTTCGGGCCCAGGATGCGGAGCACGAGGGAGGAGGCGGGCCTGGAACACAGATGGGCGAGGAGGGGCCCAGGGAGGGTCCCCACCCCCCGAAGGTCACACTCAGGAATCACAGAGCTGGCGCCCAAGGGAACGGAGCCTCATGAGGCCGAAGCCAAGAGGCCGCCTCGCTAACTGGACACGTGCTCAGGCACCGGGTGCGCCACACCGGGCTCGCTGGGGACAAGTCCCCGCAGGCATAGCAAGAGCCCCTGCATGGCCAGGTGGCATCTGGCACAGCCCACGTGTGGGTCCAGAGCCGGCTCGCTGTGAGGCTCTCGTCCCCGCAGGGCCCAGGACAGGGTGGGCCTCGGGCCAGTGACATAGCAAACTGTGGGGCTGACTGGCAGCCCCCATCCCCATGCTCAGATCCAGGCCCAAGCAGCAGAGCCGGCCCGTCCACAACCGCCCCCAAAACCACCGCATCGGGCAGGACCCAGGACAGGAGCCAGGCCAAGCACACTCGCCACGCTCATTGCCAAACCCAGCCTGGACTCTCGGGTGTGCTCACTGGACACGCCGTGGGCTGACAGCATCGTGGCTGGAAGGCACTGCGGTAGAACACACGTCACGTCCGTTCCCGTCACGCCAACCCTTCCAGAGCCTGTGTGCTCGCTGTCCGTCTCTGGCCGGTCCCCACACACTCGAGCCCTGTGACACAGGGCGGACTCGACAGCGACCCTGGAGGCTGCTCCCTTGCTCTGCAGCGGCACACGGCGAGGTCAGCCGTGCTGAGTGCAGCACCAGCCAGCGTGCGTCTCGTCCGCTGCTCGGACAGCGTCTCAGCCTCCTCCAGCTGCGATGCCTTTCCTGGCTTGGGCTTCATGCCCGAGTCAGCTCCCTGACTCCACGCGCAGCTGAAGGGCAGATGTCAGCTCCTCATTCTGACAAACCAGCAGGCCGGCAGGGCCGAGCAGGCTGCAAGTCACCAAGAGGACCAGCTGACGCCACCACTCCACGCAAGACGCTAAGCTTCCAGACGAGGACAGCAAACGAGCCTGTCTGCTGTCACAGCCACAGCATCACCCAGCTCACCGTTCACCACGCCAACAGCGTGGCCCTGACAGGCTGCCGAGGGGACCCAGCCTGGCCCCAGGAGCCGGGACCAGCACTTCCTGCTGGGGCCCGACAGGTGAGGGACTAGAGTCCCACAGCCCACAAGTTCCCTCAAGTCCCTTGCCTCCCTGACCAAACTGGTTATTCAACAGTGAGCACCAGAGACAACCAACACTTCCAGGAACAGGGTCACGTGATGCAGAACAATCTGGAACAATCCAGAACAAAGCGCTTGCAAACCCACACATGATGAACGGAAGCTCTCCCTGCAAACACGTGTCAATCAACCCATCA